TTTTTGTAAGCCCCTTGAAGTTCAGTGGTAGTAATGGGAAGAGGGATATTCCACATGGAACTTGAATTTGAGATTCAGTTGGGAAAGTTGATTTTAATGTTTATTGTGAGGCATGATGGGTCCAAGGAACTTGTTGTATCATTTAATTTGTCCATCATTTTTTCAGGTGTTCCCACTATTTAACACTTGCTTACTCTGTTAATATATGTCAGAGTAGTTTTACTTAAAGCCATACTGGCCACTCGCCCAGACACAAAAGTTTTAATTTAGTTTGAGGGAACACATTCAGATTAGCACCTACTTTTACCCAGAATTACAGTCCAAACAGTGTCCAGTTCCCAGCATGTGTGTATTCAGCATGAATGAGATAACCTTAATGCACAAGTTGGTAGATTCATTGCTCTTTTATTCAACAGATATTTATTGATTGCCTACTAGGTGGTTCTAGGTGCTGAGAAGTAAACAAAACACAAAAATCCCTGTCTTTGTGGAGCTTTCATCCTAGTAAGGGAATACCAAATAAAAACTTTATATAGTATCAGATGAAGGTAAATGCCATGGAAAAAAGGTAGGAGAGGGAGGTTAAGAGTGCCAGGTTTGTGGCGAGACTGGTGCTCTGATTTTAAATAGGGTGATCAGGGAACATTCACTACACAATTGACATTTGGGCCAGGTACAGTGACGCGTGTCTGTAATCCCATGTACTCAGGAGGCTGAGGCAGAAGGATTACTTGAGCCTAGGAGTTGAAAGCCAGCCTGAGCAACATAGTGAGACTCTGTATATAAAAACAAAACAAAACAAAAAAACCAAAGTTGACATTGGAACGAAGTTCTGAAGGAAGAGAAGGAGAAAGCCATGTAAATATCTAGGGTTAAAAGCATCCCAGGAAGAGGGAACAGGCAAGTGCGGAGAAGCAGAAGCAGGAATAACAAGGAAGCCAGTGTGGCTAGAGTGGAGTGAAAGTGAAGGAAAGGAGTAGGAGAAGGTGTCGGAGAGGAAATGGGCCAGATTATCTAGGGACTTAGATAAGGACTTAGACTTTAGAGGTCACTGTAAGGACTTAGACTTTTATTCTGACTGAGAGGAAGAGCCCTTGGAGAGTTTTAGACAGAAGAGTGACATGATCTGATACTTTTTTAAAAAAATAGCTCTGGCTGCTTTGTTGAAAATAGACCAAGAAGGAGGTTAAGGGCAGAAACAGACCACTTACGAGGTTATTACAGAAATCCAGGGAGACATTATGATGGCTTGGACCAGGGAAGTAGCCACTGAGGTTTTAAGAAGTGGTGAGATATTGGATATATTTTGAAAGTAGAGTTGACAGGATATCCCAGTGGATTGGTTATAGAGTTTTTGCTGTAATAACTAGAAGGGTGGAATAGCCATTTATTGAAAGACGTATGAATGAGAGAGGGGAAGGTTTGGAAAAGAAATTCAGAACCTTGATTTTTTTTATTTTATTTTTATTGTGGTAAAATAAACATAAGATAAAACTTACCATTTGAACCATTTTTAAGTATACAATTCATTGGCATTAAGTACACTCATAACATGTGCATCCGTCATCACTATCCATCTCCAGAACTTTTTCATCATCTCAAACAGAAGCTCTGTACCTTCTTCTTCCTCTTTTTCCTGACTCTTAGTAACCTCTATTCCACTATCTGTCTCTATGAATTTGTCTACTGTAGGTATCTCATATAAATAGAATCATATGATATATGTCCTTTTGTGTCTTGCTTATTTTACTTAGCATGATGTTTTCAAGGTTCATCCATGTTGTAGCGTGTATCAGAATTCCTTCCTTTTTAAGGCTGAATAATATTCCATTGTATGTATAATATATACTACATTTTGTTTTGTTTTTTTTTTTCTTTGTTGAGACAGTCTCACTCTGTCACCCGGGCTAAAGTGCCATAGCATCAGGCTAGCTCACAGCAACCTCAAACTCCTGGGCTCAAGCAATCCTCCTGCCTCAGCCTCCCAAGTAGCTGTGACTACAGGCATGAGCCACCACACCCAACTAATTTTTCTATTTTTTTTTAGTAGAGACAGAGTTTCACTCGTGCTCAGGCTGGTCTCAAACTCCTGAGCTCAAGCGATCCTCCTGCCTCGGCCTCCTAGAGTGCTAGGGTTACAGGTGTGAGCCGCTGCACCTGGCCACATTTTGTTAATCCATTCATTTGTTGATGGCCATTTGGGTTGTGGGAACTGTTGGCTATTATGAATAATGCTGCTATGAACATTGGTGTATAAGTAACTGTTTGAGTCCCTGCTTTCAATTGTTTTGGGTATATACTTGGAAGTGGAATTGCTAAGCCATATGGTAATTCTGTGTTTAACCTTTTGAGGAACTATCAAACTGGTTTCCACAGCAGTTGTACCATTTTACATTCACACCAGCAATGCACAAGGATTCCAATTTCTTCACATCTTTGCCAACACATTATTTTTTGTTTCTGTTTTTTGTTTTGTTTTATAGTAGCCATCCTAGTGAGTATGGAGTGGTATGTCATTGTGGTTTTGATTTGCATTTCTAGAACCTTGGAAAATTCATATAGATAGATTTTATTTTTTCACTCTGAGACAGAAGGAGTTCAACAAGGTTGTAAATGTAGAGAGAGATGAAGTCTGAGGTCTGACCTCTATAGCACTCCAACATTTAAAGGCTGGGAGATGAGGAGCAGCCAGTAAAGTAGCAAAACCAAGAAGAGAATGGTATCCTGGAAGTCAAGTGAGGAATGTGTTCAAGAAAGAGGAAGAGGATTCTGTGAAGTTCTATGGACAGATTAATTAAGAAGAGAACTGAAAATTGACAATTTGATTAGCAACATGGAAGTCAACAAAGACCTTTAATTTTGGTGGAGTGATGAGCGTGAAAGCCTGTTTATAGTGAGTTCAAGAGAAAAAATAGAAGAAGAATTAAAGGCAGGCAGTACAGATAATCTTTTGATGAATTTTGTTGTAAAGGGGGTATGATAAACAGAGTAGTAGCTGGAGAAGGATGTGGGATCTGGATAGGAGTTTTTATTTCATGTCAGACATTATAGAATGTGTGTTAATGGGATTGATCCAGTGGAGATGGAAGAATTATTGATGTGGAAGAAAGAGGAGATAATGGCTGAAACAGCTTTTTGGAAAAGCGACGAATTCCTAACAGCATTGTTCTTTGTTTCAAGGCTCTCTCAGCCATAGAGAAGGAAAAGCAGGAAAATTGAAGAGATGGTCACTGTGACTGCTGCTGCTTTGGCCTCTGTAGAATTAGGTTTGAAGATTTTTTTTTTTTTGAGACAGAGTCTCACTCTGTTGCCTGGGCTAGAGTGCCGTGGCGTCAGCCTAGCTCACAGCAACCTCAAAGTGCTGGGCTCAAGCAATCCTCCTGCCTCAGCCTCCCGAGTAGCTGGGACTACAGGCAGGCGCCACCATGCCCGGCTAATTTTTTCTATATATATATTTTTAATTGTCCAGAAAATTTCTTTCTATTTTTAGTAGAGACAGGGTCTCGCTCTTGCTCAGGCTGGTCTCGAACTCCTGACCTTGAGCTATCCACCCGCCTCAGGCTCCCAGAGTGCTAGGATTACAGGCGTGAGCCACCGTGCCCGGCCAAGTTTGAAGATCTTGATGGCAGCTTCTGGTCTTGTGCCAGAGCACCTCAGCATGGATCTTGTGTAGAGCTTACTTCCTTCTAATACCCAGCAATAACTGGGCCTTGCTTTTCTTGGAGTTCCAAATATCCAGAGAATAAAGAAAGAAGAGGAGATTTACCTTCCCATCTTTAGTCTTTCATTTCCATTATGAACATTTTACCCCTGCCTGTGAATATTATTATGACTGATACTTGATTTAAGTATGTGTTTTATCAAAGTACATACCATACCTGTTCTGAAAGCCATGGTATATGGCAGGACAAAAAGCTATCAAAAATCCCTTCTATTTTCCCCACAGCATCACTTAATCACCCCAGACAGGAGTGGTCAATAAAGAATTTTAACTGTTCACACTTCCACTAGTTCAAGAGAAATTTGAATTTTCTTACTTTTTTTTTTTTTTTTTACTGAAACCAACATTTCTACTTTAGAACTGTAGGTCTTTAGGAGACACATCTTAGCAGATGAATAAGAGTGGAAAATACGGGTAATTTCATACTTTTGATGGTAGTTATTCAGAGAAAGTCTCCTCTGGTAATGAAGTCTAACCCAGAAGTCTATGAATCATATTTGTTGAACATACTAAACATAAGACATCCCAAGATGAAATTCCAAATCAGTTAGGCATTGCCAGAGATTATTTTCTGCCAACACCCAGTTCCTTAAATTGTGTGGCTAGCATAGTCTTACTCTAGATTCTGTATCTGTTTTTATAGACGGAATAAAAGTCCTAACTATTCACACAGATTCGTTTTGTGATAAGAGATCCAGAGGAGCTTGTAAATAATTTTCAGAATTGCTTTGCTAGTTACCTTTTCACCCTAAGTAGGTCTGGAAAGCATCCAGCAAAACAGCTTTTGCATGTTCATACCTTTCTGAATGAATCATCTTCCTTCCCTTTAGTGAGAAAAGGGCTCTGTGTACTGTTTCTGGCAGAATTTCCACAAATGTTTTATTTTTCTTAAGTCTTTCAGTGCTTCACTTGAATTGAAATAGGAGGATGCCTGATGTTCCTGAAGGAGACCTCGGAGTCTCCTGACTCACAGTTGCTTATATTAAAATAATGGTCAGTTCTGATTCTTCTAGGAGAATGTTGGGCATCCCTTTTTTTTTTTTTTATGAAGTTGTTCTTACTATAAGAAGTCAGAGACAAGAGGTCAGACTGTATGATACTATGCTAAGGCCTGCAGAAAGATGAAGGTTTGTTCTTGCTTGTTGAGCATAATCCTCTTTACCTGTGAAATGGAGAGTACTATCAGAATGTTGAGGTAAAATCTGGGACATCCTTTGATCTCCTTGAAATTCAAAATTTGTCCCGACTAGCCTGAACTTTTTATTTTTATGTTTCACAGTTTCCAGACATCAGTCAAGAATCTGATTCTCCATTTGTTTTCATCTGCAAAAATCCCCAGGAAATGGTTGTGAAGTTTCCTATTAAAGGAAATCCAAAAATCTGTAAGTTACTTTTTTTTTTTTTTTTTTTTTTGTAAAGACTAGTCAGGTGCAGTAGTGAGAATGGGGGAAAGAGCAGTACAAAGAGTTCAATCTGTAACTGACTATGAACAATAGAGATAACTTACTACCTTTGGGCCAGTCTGTAAGTTGATCTTTAATGGTCTAATTTTCTTTTATTTTCTTGTCTTATATCTCAGTTGTCTGATATTTTAAAAATCTCTTTTTTACTTGGTTCTACGCATCCCTAGTGTTGAAGGATTAATATAATTACATTTCAATAGCTTTAATGTTAGGTTAACTACAATATAGCCTTTCCAAAGGGTACCTTGATCCACAGTTAATTCACAATGCTAGTGAATCACTCTAAACTTCTATTCCAGACCCCATTACATTAAAATGCTACTTGTCAGCCAAAAAAGTATGCTTTGCTTCACTATAGTGCTCATTAAAGAAAAAGTAGTAAGCCAATGCCAGTGGCAACATTGTCATTTATTGTTCTTCAGTATTCAAGAATAAGACATTTTAAGTGTTTATTTTTGAGCATCTGTTTTGGAGGTACCACTTCTCACATTTCCCTTGATTGTTGGTTCCTAGATTTCTGCCCTAGCCTTCTTGCTTTTCGTCTTCTTTTGGAAACCTCTTAATGATTTCTTTTTCTGTAACTTTTGCTCTTAGGTATTCGTGATTATAGTACCCTCCACATAGTCACTTCTCAGGAAGTGCTTATTGACTTTACTCTTTCAACTCATAGCTCTTCTTCAACTCCCAATTTCTCTTCTTCTGTCTAGTGCTAAAGCAGCCTCTTCTGTTTCAAAGCAATCTCAGAAAACATATAGTGGCGTCCTCCCTGCCTAACTTCCTTGGAAAAACAACATCAACAACTTTGTTCATGTCAGTTACTGTTTTGTGCCTCTGTGTCACTGCTATCCCATTGTGTGAACTGGATGATTCTGGGGCATGCATTGTCTTTACTTGTGCACAACTCTACCTCACTCTATACCTTATGGACCAACTAGCCATTTTATGAATCTTTTATATAGAGAAGTACTTCTCAAACTATAATGAAAATAAAAATCACCTAGCGAACTGTTAAAGCCCAGGCTTCTGGGCCTTGCTCTCAGGTGATAGGAATGCTGTTGGCCAGCTGACTACACTTTAAGTTAAATTGCTTTCAATCACAAAATGAAATGCCTGGAGTATGAATTTATATTAATGTATATTCACTGCAAAATTTAGGCAACCATCGTGATTAATGAAACATATGTTCCCGAGATTCCTACAAATCAGAAAATCTGTACCAAATTACCCTTAACTTACACAAATTACTTACTTTAGACTGTATTTTACTTGGTGGCCAAATGGCCCTGGAAATTCTTTTTTTTCTTTTCCACTATTTAGGACTTACATCTCCTATTACTCTCCCTCTTTTTTGGTTGTGGCATTCTACTCCTTCCTCCTCCCTTCCATCCGTACCTTACTCTAGGCACTGGTGACAACACAGGTGGTAGGAAGAAAAGGTGGTAAGTGTTCTTGCTTAGACCCACTATTTCTTGATCTTTAGTTCCACTTCCCTTTTCTTAGCCTCCTCCCCATCTTGGTTTTCATCTGCTGCTTAAGCTCCTGTGAGAAAATGTTATGTGTAAACAGAGTTTATATATTTCTCTGAAATGTTTTACTTTAGTAGTTTTTCTACCCAAAGACCCACCCTTCATCAAACCTTATCTCCATAAGGTTTAATAGGGGTGGGGGTGGGGGACTGATGCTCTTAGGAGAAAGCTTTAATAACTTCCTATCTTTTTCCTATTGTTTCTATTAGTTAATACTAGACCAGAAAAGTTAAACATTAGTCTCAATTAATAGGTAGGTAGTGAAAATTTTTTAAAAAGGAAGGAATAGGTTAGGTAATCCCTATATGTCTCAGAAAAAAATTTTTTTTTTTACAGACAGGCTCTTGCTGTCACCCAGGTTGGAATGCAGTGGCCTGATCATAGCTCACTGTAACCTCCAACTCCTGGGCTCTTTGACCGTCCTGCCTCAGCCTCCTAAGCAGCTGGAACTACAGGCATGCGCCATCATGCCCGGCTAATTTTAAAATTTTTTATAGAGATAAGCTCTTACTATGTTGCTCAGGCTATAAGAAAAAATTTCTATTGAGTCAGCCTACCCAACGATTTAGTCTGGTATGAAGTTTCTAGTCCTCATAACTGCTTACTCTTTTATTCTTCATTCTTCATTACCATCTCTAAAAACCTTCCACTCTGCCAGAATGCTCTTCCCTTAAGCCATAGGGGATACCTCCAGTAGTTTAGAGCTGGAAAAGTCTTTGATCCTGGTACAACACAGGAAAAGACATACTTGGCTTTTAATTTGAAATGCTTATCATATTTTCCCCTGGATATATTGTTACACCAAATGATTAAGTTCCATAGTATTAATAATATTAACACTCATAGCACTGTGGCTTAAATGTTTTTATGTGGGATGGCTTAAAAACCTAGCTACCCTTTATAGATTAGTTCTATGAAAAATATGTTCCAAGTTCCAAACTTTTTTTTTTTTGAGATGAGTTCTCGCTCTGTTGCCTAGCCTGGCCTCAAACTCCTGGGCTCAAGAGATCCCCCCACCTTAACCTCACAAGTACTTGGGACTACAGGCACATGCCACCGTGCCTGGCTTCAAGTTCTAAACTTTTGACTTGCAAATAAACTTTTAGAATATAATCCATTTACATGTTGCATCACAAGTATATATGTATGTATACATGCCTTAAAGATATATATTTTGATTTGTTTGTCTTTGGATGTGTAAACTTGAGCTTGCTTGACCTTAGAGTAGCTGTGTCTCTTGAAATTAAAATATTTCAGAAAAGAGCAATGTACAACATGCTATCACTTGGTTGTGTGTCTGTTACAATTAGTAAATGCAAAAAAGTTAACTATAGTAGAACGCATAGGTTGAGCACTTAAGGAGATAAAGGAAAATATTTCTTACTTTTCATGCTCCATAAACTCATGCAAATATTGTGTTATATTTTATGCAAAGCATGTGAAAATTCCTGTGAGAGTTATGTCGATTGATGACAAATACTTTTGCCCCTTTTAACTTCTTGCTTATCTGCTACACATGCATTTGATTTTCTCTTGGCCACTATGATTGAGGATGTGGTTTAACACTGATATGCTTTAGGCACTAAATATAAAAATATTGGGGCAAAACAGAAACTAAGCATTGTCACTCTACTATGAAGAGCATATATTGTATGTCACTGTAGTTCACTATCCAGATCCCAAGTCTTGACAGCCTGGGCTGAACTAGAACTCAGAGCTCAGATTTCCTACAATCCGAGGACAGCCATGATGACTACTTCTTCCTGCAAGCCAAGTCCCTTGCCTTTATGGCCACAGCTGCTACTATTAACGGTCACTCTGGTAGATGTTAGGGCTACAAAAAACTCCTTTATTGTAAGTTCACAGATTGCTGGCACATGTCTCACTTTTTTAGGCAGCCCAGAGTATGAAAGAATTTCTAAATCCATGGGAATGCCTTAGAAATCCGTGTTCCTCTCATATCTTCTTCTTCCTATTAGTTTTCCATTTTATGACATCATCATTGAAGGCAGAGATTATTTTGCCCTACCATTGAGTGCTTTGTTCTGATGGGTTGATCTTACATGAGTTGGTCTCGCTTGAGGGCTTTCACAGTCAGACTGGAGTTTTCTGAAACTTAGACTTGGAATGTTCTTACACAGTAAAGCTTTGAGAATGTGAAAACAGTTATGTCTTTTTTAATATGAGGAATCTGAAATAAATATAATTAAAAGACTTGCATGGGGTTTTATGGTAATTTAAAGGTAAAACTGAGACCATAACTAAGAAACACAACTCCAAGTCTCAGCATAAATAACACAACCACTCTTACCTTTTCAGGAGACTTTGAATTTATGAAGCACTTTATCATATATCATTTCATTTACAGGTGGAGCATCCCAAATCCGAAAATCTGAAATCTGAAATGCTCCAAAATCCAAAACTCTTTGAGCTCCAACATGATGCTTAAAGGAAATGCTTATTGGAGGATTCCAGATTTTGGATTTTTGGATTTGGGATGCTTAACTGTAAGTATAACTGGCCACCTTCTTTGTCTAATTCATTTGATGAAAGCATTTATTGAGCATCTGTCATTTCACAGTCACTATGGTAGCATTATGGAGATACAAAGCCTTACTTGCCTTATAATAGGGCTCTTTGCCAGATTGTTGGCATGTTCAGGTTTGCAGCCAGGCAGCATAGAGTATGAAAGAACTCCTAAATCCCTGGGAACACCCTATGCTCTAAAGCCCAAATTAAAATCAATACCATTGTATTTTTGTGGAATGGCATTCAGAGTATCACTTAGCGATGGTTTCTGAGGAAGCCCAGAAAAGGACTGTACTGTTATTGCAGAAGCAAGTGTAATAACCCTAAAGAGAGAGACAGGGGTGGGACTTAAGAAAACAGACAAACTTGTTAGGCTGAGGTTACTTGTTTCACAGTCTCCTTGTGCAGTGGTCGGGACATGTATTCTTAACTTAGTTGGACAAATGAGAATACTGAAGCCCAGAGAGATGGAATGACTTGCTCCAGGCCATACCGCTAGTTAGTATCTGAGAAAGGTAGACTAGAACCTGGGTCTTCTGACTTCTATCCAGTGGTCTTTCTGTTATACCTCATTGCTGCAACGAATGAAAATGACAACAAATGAGAAGCAATAGTTCTGGGTATGGGCCTGTAGTATACCTGGCTGCCCTTGAAAGTGGAGGCTCCCTGTTTTTTGTTTTATTTTCGAGTACTGAGACTGAACTGTTTCTATTTTCAGCCATCACTATTAAATGAGACTTTTTGTGAGAGAAAGCAAACTGCAAGCTTTGTTCTCAGAAGACAGGAATTCTGTTAAGATCCTTCTTGTGAGATGGATGATTCCTAAGGCTGTTACCCTAAGCCAAACTCTATCCCAGTAGATCTGAGGAGTCAGAGGTCAGAGACCAACCACTTCAGTAAAGTGGTCTCACTAGGGTCACCTGGAACAGGAAGTTTGCTTGTTTTCTAAGTTTAACACTTAGAAGAGTCATACAGCCTATGACCTTTACCCTTCTTAGCTGGTGATAGGGGCCCTTTGTCAGTAAAGCATTCATGTGAATTCTACTCCACTGTTTGAGGTCACTCCCCCTATTAAGTGTGAGGCTGCTAAAGGGTGAGTTGAACTGCTTTTCTCACTGTGAAAGGAGGTTCATGCATTATTGCACTATGCTCAGCCAGTTAACTGGTCAGGGGAATGGGTTTCCCACCGTGTGAAATGCCTTCCTTTATTACATGTGTATATTCCTAAAAATTTTGCCTTAGCATCAGACACCCTAAAAAAACATGATATGTCTTTTCTAGTAGCTACAAAATTAGAAATATTAACTTCTTAGATTTTTTGGGCAATACTCATTTTGTGTGTGTGTATTAGTGTTCCTACTTCTTCTGCATTCTTACAGAATGAAACTCTGAAGTTTGGAAGTGTTTGAGTCCTGAAGCAAGATAATTGAATGTGACAGGAACACAGTAACTAGAAGACCTGGGAGGCCACAAAAGATTTGCATTGCAAATATAAAAAATAAATAATGAGACTTCTTTTTCTCCCTTACAGGGAAACTGGATTCCAAGATCCATCAAGGAGCAAAGAAGGGGTTAATGAAGCAGAATAAAGCTGTCTGACACAGGAGAAAAGGAACTATACAGCATAGTGAAGTTTTGTACCCTAAAATTGCTGTCCAGTGGTCCTTTGGAATTGAAACAGTAGAAATCTAAAGACTTGGTATCAGGCTTGAATCACTCAGAATTTAAACTCTTAACAAAATCTGTATATTTTTCTTAAAGAGTGGGGTTCTTACTTTATGTAGTGGGTCAAAATCTTTGAATACATTCTTTATAAAAACCTATTTTAAAAATTCTAGGTCTTTGACATTTTTCTCAGAATGGTATCAGAAGAGAAAGGAACAAGTTGGAAATTGCTTTCCTCGCTGAGACTTGTATTTGTAGTTAGGAAAATTTTTAACCTAGGTTAATGATTTTTTTGAGGGGCCCCCTGGGTTTTAGTTTCTTTTCAAAATGATAGTCTGGCAGAGTAATAGGATGTTTGAGTAGTCCTGTGTTTAATATAAACCTGTGATGGGACAAAAAGGTTTTTAACAAGTTTTTTGTTCCAGTCCAATGTCTTTTAAAGTGAACAGTCTAAGTGAAAAGCTGAGTAACCCTCATTGGCAGATTTTTTTTTTTTTTTAAGAGATTATCTGAAGAAGTGTTTCCACTTTGTTCTTTGGTTTGAGAAGCCAGAACATGGAAGGTTCAGTCTTGGAGGAGATGGAGCCACCTGCTAAAGCAGCATGAAGCTGCCCTATTTATTTTGTTGCAAAAGTATCACTTCGATGGGGCAATTAGAAACAAACTGAAGAATAAAATTGCTTCAGTAAATGCATCCAAATATCCCCAAATGCTGAAACCAAACCTTTTAAACCATTCATATCCCAGGAAGCTATGAGCTTTGGAAAAACAAGAGATTGGTGTGCAATGAGATTTTTCCTTGTCACTCTGGCCCTACTTGGTGAAGCACTTTGTTTCTGAGGCTGTTCTGAAGAGCTGTCAGAATCTCAGTTGCTGGCATCCTGAGGAAATTCGTGGTCTTAAATGTGTATGTTCTGCTTTTTATAAAGCCAACACCACCACACTGGGGAAGTTGGACTCCCTCCAGCAGTTGTGTGCATGACTTAAAAAAGAGAGAGTAAGGGAGAGGAAAAAAGTGCCCCGTGTTATGAAAAAGATTAATTTCCCCTTTTCTTTAATCCTTCATATTCAGCGTTATTTGCATTGAAATGCCTCTACTCATTATGCATTGATGTTCACTCAGCTGTGAGGCCTGCTTGTTGCATAGCTCTAGGCATTGGTTCTGCAAGCCCTGATCACTCTGGATTCCCAGGGAAAACCCACCAGATTCTTGTTCTGGTGACGCAAACATGCAGTATTCTCTTTCTGTTTAGCCTCTGTGAATAAAGTGGAAAGGACGGCTAATGGCACTTCTTTAGGGGAAAAAAAAAATCTGGCCTCCCGCAGACCCTGTTATTAACGAAGCCATACTGGGTTCACTATGCAGTTAATGGTTTACCAAGCAGTAGCATCTTGAATTCTATGCTGGAGTTGTCTGGCTCTTTTAACACCAAAATAAAATCAAAAGGCAGGAGGTGAAGTGCATAGAGAACAGACAACAACAAAAATTATTCCAACAACAGCCTGAGGACAGAGGTGTCTGGATTGATTTTTCCACCTAGATAGATTATGTGTGTATGGCTAAAGAAAAACGTAGGAGCTGCAACAGATCAGGTTATGCAACCATTTTGTGTGCGGTGATAAGAAAGTTTACAAGGACTTTACAAGTTTACAAGAACCCACCTTAGCATCCAAACTGTACAGCTGGAGCCACATGAGTAAATGGCAGAGTAACTTAGAAATTTCTCCTTTTTATAGTTAGACTGTGAAAGCCTGTCTTTAGTTCATATGCTGGTGGTGGTATAAGGTCTCTCTTTTATTTGCAGAGACACTTGGGAGGAAGTATGGGAGAAACTTGGGGGTATGGCCCTCAGTTGCTCAGTGATAAATAGCATAATTTAAAACCTCATGGAAATTCTTAGTAGCCAGAGTGCAAACTCATCCAGGAATAGCCTTTCAGTACTTTATAACACTTTGCTCTGACCCTGTAACTCTGGGATAGCTTGGCCTGAGGGAAGTTTCACATTTCTGAGCCGGTTTTCTGTTGCAGTCTAAATATCTGTGCCCCCTTTTGGATGGTTGGGTTCAATTGCTATCACTTTGTATAGTACCTAAAGGATTCACCTTTTTGTTTTTTGTTTTTGTTTTTCCAGGCAGGACTCAGTCCCATTTATATAAGGTCAGAGTAGGGGATATATGTAACTAGAGACTTTATCAGAGTTTAGGAAGCCCTGGCCTTGTAGTTAGATGTTTGGAATAGAGTAAGGGTTTTCTTTCCTTGCTGTAGCTAATCTGGAGAAAGAAAACTAGGTGTCCGCTCTTTTCTTCTTAAGTCAGAAGTTTACAGGAATCCATTTTTTCTTAGGAGGAAAGTATGGAAAATTTGGACTTTAAAGATCATTTTTACAAATAATTATGAATACAAAGTTATGGCTTTTTTGAGTTATAACCCTAATCTCTTACCATTTTAACTACTGTCTCTACTAAGCCCATTTATGTGGATTTCATTTAATTTAGTAATTTTTTTAAAATAGTGCCTTTGCTATCATTTCTAGCTAAGATCGAGACAGCATGGAGGTTGTTCTCTTGGCTACCTAAAAAGGACCAGTAAAAAGCAAGTATCTGTTAAACTAGAGAAATCAGCTAACTTTAGTTTGTTAGGCCTGGGGGAGAAAAGAAAGTCCAGTGATAAAGGAATTTTTTTCCTTGAGATTCAAATAGCTAGTACATATCTGCTGTTCTCAGCTTCTGTAAATGTGTTTGGAGGGAGGTGATCTATATCACAGTCTGTGGCAGCAACAAGGGATCCAGCATTCGGAGGGCATTTCTGCTACTCTCATGCAAAGAAAGAACATAGCCACATTGCCATCCTCTGACACAAAGAAACTTGTATAAATATCTGTACGTTTATGTGTGTGTGAATAATGTGGCTTAATTCATGGGGTGACTTTCGTAAACTGATCAGATTTCAGACTTCAGTTGTGACAATGGAGAGCCCAGAGAGATGACCTAGGAAATGTATCCTAGCTTGGAGTCAGAAAAATGGATGTGTATGTGGTAGTTGGGGTGGGGCCCTGAGAAGCCATAGAGAGGTATGTCAAAGGAAGGGAGTGAAATTTTGGCATGAGGAACAAAAAATGTCAATATAGAAGATTTGAGAAGAATCTAGAGCTATACTAATATGGTAGCCACTAGCCACATGTGGTTATTTGAATTTCAGCTAAATTAGGATTTAGTTCTTCAGTCACTGTTAACCATATTTCAGGTGCTCAGATAGCTATATGTGGCTAGCGACTTCAGAATTGGACAGCGCAGATATAGAACATTTCCATCACTGCAAAAAGTTCTATCAGATAGTGCTTGTCTGGAGCAGGGATTGGCAAACTTTTTCTGTAAAGGGCCAGATAGCAAATATTTTAGGCTTTACACAGGCCATACAGTCTTTTAAAACTACTCAACTTTGCTGTTGTAGTGCAAATGTATCCATAGATAATGTAAATGAATGAGCTTGGCTAGAGCCAATAAAGCTATTTGTGGACACTGAAATTTGAATTTCATATAATTTTCATATCATGAAATATCCTTTTGATTATTTTTAATTGTTTACAAATTTAAGAAAGAATTTAAAAATCAGGCCTGGTGCAGTGGCTCATGCCTGTAATCCTAGCACATTGGGAGGCCAAGGTGGGAGGATCACTTGAGGACAGGAGTTCGAGACCAGCCTGGGCAACATAGTGAGACCCTATCTCTACAAAAAGAAAAAGCAAAAATCACTTTTAACTCATGGGACATTTTGAAACAGGCAATGAGCCTAATGTGACCCGTGGGATGGAGTTTGCCAATCCTTGGTCTAGAGGAATAGGAAGTCAAAACTTAAGATTCTGTTACTGTACAGGAGAACGTCTGATCACTTGAAAATTTTTTAGTGGTTCTTCCAGACTTGGGAACTTTCTCTGGCTAAAAATTGGGGTTCACTGCAGGAATGTTTGCTTTTCTTCCCTATTTTTGCAGTCTAGTCCTCTCCAGTGGTAGAGTCATGGTCCTGCAGTAGGAGATGACTACTGGAATGTTCAGCCCTTAATTAAATAACATCTAAGTCTAAAACACTAAACCCTTCTCTTTCTCCACCTACTAAGTAGCTGAATCCTTACTTGTGACATCATCTGGTATACATTAGAAGTTTGCTGTCACGAGATCATTTCTGCCCTTGTACTCTCCTAGAATAATGTGAATATTGGTGGACCAAAGGGGGGTTGTTTTTCCTAGACCAGACAGGTTTAGTATTCATCTTTGGCTGTCAAGACCCCCCGCCCCCGCCTTTTTTTTTCTTTTTTTTTTTTTTGGTGTGGAGATGGAGATGAGTAAAGGGATTTTATGACCTCACTTTATCTCCAAGTCACATGCTATATTGAGGGGCACTGTTGAAAGATGCCTCAGGATAAGGGAAGAAAGGAAAGATAACTGCAAAGCCAATAAAATGGTCAGGGACACAGGAAGGACATGATAGGGGGCAAGCATGGGGAGCCTGGAGAATTGAGGTAAATTTGTTTGCTATGGAATGCGGTGGAAGTCTTAGGAGGTCATCAGGAAGCCTATATGTGTTCAGTTGAGAGGTGAGTGGGGAGGGTTCACTTAACATGGACTACTGTGTACTAGATAGTGTGCTTGGGCAATCTGAGATGAATGGCAGATAAGGAAAGATAAGTTACAATCAGTAGAAATAGAATGGCGGGGTTGCAGAAGGACAGAATAAAACTTTTAGATAATAAAAAGCAACAAGATTTAGTGATATAGGATGGTGAAGTGAAAGATACAGAAAGATTAGAAATGGGTACATGGGAGAGAAAAACAAATGGTAACCCTAAAAAAAAGCTGGAGAACAAAGGATAAAAAATTAGGTCGGGGTACTTTGCTGAACTAAGGAGTAAAATGGATAAAACCGTCCTGAGCTGTGGTTGCTCTTCTGTTCTTTCTGGATGTTCGTGTTCAGATCCCCTATGGCCCTTCCCTCTCCCCACAGTCGAAGGACATCTACAGAATGGGTGTCTTCTGTATTTGAGGTACAGTACTTCCCCAGAGACCTCTCTGTGAGGAAGTCTGGTCCAGCAAGAGTTTTCCTGTCCACGAGGAGAGAGCGTTAGGCTCGAGCTCTCCAATCCGGGTTTCTTCGAGTTTATCTCGTTTTAACCGGCT